TGAGTTCCTAGAAAGTAAAAGAGAATTTTGGTTTACCAGTACAGTCTTCTTTTAAAACTGGAGAATAGTCTTACAGAGACACAAGAGTTAAAACCAAAAATCCTCTAGATGAAGAAAATGAAATGACCCGTGTGTACACTTCTGAATTACTCTATTATTAATTAGATTTTCTTCAAACAAAACTGCATCTTTTTTAACAACAGATGGGAGTCTACAGTGCAGATGGTTTCAGTTTGGGAATATAAAATACTTCTGGCTGCATGTCCAAGCCCTCCACCAGTATCTTGTGGGAGTTGAGGCAGAAAGTCAGCTGGGAAAGTTAGTTCAGGAAGGGCATCAAAGCTGTTAGCTGGGGAATGCATGGTGTTGACAAAAATGCACTAATAGAATTAACCAAAGAGCTCTCAGTGCTTGGAAAAGGACACGAGAGCAATCATGAGCCATGTGTAGAGCCTGGGAGAAACAATACTTCAGTAAGGTTTGCTTGGCCTTCATTCTTCCACTTCTTGCATTTATATTTAAAAGTATGGTTGGCATTTTTTGTCATGTTTGTCCCCAAGGAGCTTTTGTGCAGATTCCTTTTATTTGTTATGGCATATCTGGTTTATCCTGCTTCATCTTTATGTGTCCAGAACTGAGCCCTTATTAGCACACTAAAACTTATTTTAAAATATCCACCCATTAGGTCCATGAAAAAGTTATATTAGTCACTTTTCTCACTGTTACAACCAAATACCTGACAAAAACAATTTATGAAGGAAGGGTTGATTTGGCTCACAATTGAGGGGACAGCCACAGTTGCCAGGAAGCCATGGTGGCAAGGGCTTGAGTCATACTGTGTTCATAGTCAGGAAGCAGAGAGTGATAGTGTGAGCATTCAGCCCCACTTTCATTTTGAGTTCCTGTCCTGTGAGACCCCCGCCCATGGGATGGTGCCACCCACATTTAGAGGAGTCTTCCCCCTCCATCCTAATCCAGAAGCTCCCTCCCTCACTTAATGCTTCAATTTTGTTTGGGAAAAGTCAACACTAGGAGTCGATTGTTAGATACAAGCACTGTCTTGACAGAGGACATGGTAACAGTGCCAGGGCCCGATGAACCAGCAGTATGCCATCAGCTTGGGGTAGGAAAGGGCATCTAAAGGAGAAACTGCCTGATGGCTGCCCTAAGAGGCTAGAGGTTGGCTTGTTAATCTTGAGCGAGTCATTTCAACATAAGATTCTGGCAAGGAAACGAAATAGAGGAAAGAAGAAAAGACCAAACATTTTAAAGTTAGCACTGATTTGTAAACTATGTAGTCTCCGTATTATTTTTTTTTCCATTGGAGAAAATTAAGTGTTCTCTCCCACCCCACCCCACCCCCAGAGTCTTAGGTGACTGGTTGTCCTGTAGATATAGTCTTTGGAACCTCCATGACCATGAGCAGGCTACACTCCTGGACTGCAGGGTAAGACCAAAAACAAAAACAAAACAACCAGAAACCAAGAAGCCTGTGGACACTACTGGCTGCTTCACTGGCTAAGGATTGCTTCATGAAAGTCAAGCAGAGAAGGTATCCATTGTAGGCTTAGCTCCTGCACAGGGCCATTGCGACAGCTGCTGTTCTTCAAGTAGGAGGTGAATAGGAACACATGTGAAAATCATCATCATTATTCTTCCCGTCGCCACTCCTACACTCTTGTAAGAATGTTCTATGGGCCAGGACATTCTGGTCATTATTTACAACCCCAGAGAATCTAAGGTGCAATTATTGTACTAATACTTAAATTAATATTTCACAAGTATCATTCGTTCTCAAGGTATCCTGATGGAAGTTGGCATTATAGAAAGAAGAGGGAGAGGGAATAAGCAGGAGGGAATAGTAACTGGAAGACTGCAGCATTCTCCTTGCATTTGGAAAGACACATTGAAAGGAGAATCCACCTGAATGACAACCTCATTGACTAGGAGAGATAAGTTTGCTCCACCCACTCTGTTTACATATGCCATTGTTTCAGCCTGTGATGTTTTGTTTACTTCCGAAGGAAATATTTTACCCCCTCTGAGATAATTAATTTTTGTCAGCTTCGCTGTTTATAAGGGAAACTGAGAAACTGTTAATTGAAATACAGAATGAGTCACTGTTTTCGGTAATTTTTGGCAGCGTTCTAATTTGTGTCAATCCCAGCCTAATTATTAGATATTGTTGGAAGCAGAAAGCATATTTGATTTTTTTCTCTTATTGAATTCTTTTTCTTCCCCATTAAAAAAACAAAAACAAACAAACAAACAAAAAACACCCCCCCCCAAAAAAAAAACCTGTGAGCCCTGGGGTAAAAGTTATATAATTCATGTCAGTGTGAGGTGAAACATAGACACATCTGAAACAGTGAGAGGTCTACTGTGTCATGCTTGCTTGGCTCTACTCAGTGGCTCAGTATTTACAAAGTCTGTGGATTACAGTCTTTCTGCCTCACTCCTCCTTATCCGAAGTCCCTGTGAAAAAAGTGTGGTTCTTTTAAAGACCTTTTCACTGGTATGGAGCCGCCAGCTCTGGACCATCACTAATGGTATCAGAGAAGTGAATTTCCCAGAAGCCATCAGGGAGAGTTCATTTGGAAATCCAATTGAATGTCACTTGCAAAGGGCAGGAACATCGTAGAGGTGGCCAGCCATGCATCCCTGAGTTGTTGGTTATAAAAGCATTAATCACCATGAACTCATTTACTCCTAATGCAAACACACTGCATTATTCCACAGGAATTCTGTTTCCAATGATCATTAGTGCAGACAACAGGGAGCTCCTGGTTGTGGGCGAGGTTAATAAAATCTGTCAGCTCAATGGCGGGCATAATGGACCTGTTAATGATTCCTGATAGAAGCTGGATCCTCCCTGCTGCTGCAGAGCAAAGGCAGCAAGAGAGGCAGGTGTCGACTGTGCAGAGCAGACAGCCCTGTCCCTCAGCTTCCCATGGTGGCTTCTAGATGGAGACAGTACCTAGATCAGTCACTGAGTATGATCAGGAATCAGAGCCTGCTGTATCTGGGAGCTTTGGCACCTGTGGTGGACCAGGCCGGGAGTCCCCAGCATGACCCATGATGGCTCTGCTCCCATACTCTGGAATGCAAGCTGTAGCTGCTTGCAAAGCACAGGCCAGGACCATCCAAGCACCCCGAACCTCTTCTCAACCCTGAGCCCACCCATAAGTAAAATGGAATTCATAACAGTAATAGCCACAACCATGGCACATGGTCACCAGATGCAGTCAATGATCTAGGACTAAGAGACTCACATGCACTTACCAAAAGTGTTTGTGTGTCATCCCCATTTGACAAGAAAGCTCAAGGCCCGAGGTCCTCAGCTACTTCCCCAAGATGGAATCCAGATGGTGGTGCCTGTAAACACCATGGTTCTTCGCTGGAGGAACACACAAAAGCACCAAACTGTAATCAGACCCATAAAAAGTACAAGGCATGAGAGAGAACACAGAACTTTCTCCATGTGCATTTCCATCTAGCCAATCAGTACCTTCAGGACCAGGCACAAGCAAAGTGCCTAAAAGCTATGCTGTCTGCCTCCATGCCTTGTTAGGACAACACAGGATCCCAGGCCCTTAGGATACTGAGCTGTTCAGCGTCACCCAGTTGTGACCCCAGCTGGGACACATCAGCCAATGATGCCCCCACACCTATCCTCAATATTTGCTCCTTGTTACGACAGCCCCGCTTGTCACTAAACCTGTCATAATTTGTGTCATCTGAAGCTCATCCTGATCTCCTGCCTGGGCTCTAGCTACAAGGGACAAAAGAAGTTCCTACCTTCTGGGGACTCCTCCTGAGTACAAGCCTTGTGGGACTGACAGCCAGGAGTGCCCCTAGCCAGAGACCTGAGCTCCAGCTCCATAGACTGGGTAGGAGCACGCAGATGCTCTCAAACCCTGGGGATACTGACAGCCACCGGGACTCAGAATCAGGAGGCTTTGGAAGAAAGGAGCTGCAAAGAACTGTGTAAAGAAGAGTGCACAGTGACAGAAGGGCTTTGTAGTGCCTTCAGCAAATGAAGGGAGCACTGTGTGTGGACTGCCAGGGACCTATCCTACAGCAGTTTCCGAAATCCAGAAAGGAGCAGCCCCAGCACCCTTCACCAACAACCCCATCCCTTAAAGTTGGGCTTCCTGGTTTGCATTGTTTTGTTTTGTTGTTGTTGTTATTGTTTGTTTGCTTTTTGATGGAATTTTAAGTATTTGAAAGATATGACAAAGCAGATGGTTGTAAAGAGGGAACATGAGGGGAAGATGCGGGTTAAGAGAGTCTCGGAGGGAGCCTTATGATTACTCCACAGCCATCTACCATCGGGGTAGCACGGAGCTCAGTGCTGAGAGTAGTACAGCGGAGTGCAGAGAATGTGGGGTGTGTTTTCTGTCCCAGCCCCTGCTTAGGGATGCACTCTACAAGCGTGAGTCTACATGGTGCCAGATATAATGGCTGAAAACTGAGAGAAATAAGCAGAAGGGAAATTTTACAGATAGCACCACAGAAGGTTGCATCAGTTCTAAAGAGCATGGAGGATCTGCACACATGCAAAAGACACAGTCTAGGGATGGAGAGGAAACACCATGAGGCATCTGAATTGAGAACAGCAAAGCACACAGGAGAATGAGGGACACTGCCCTGTCCAAGTGTAAAAGAAGGTATTTGTAAGAGTGTACTCAGAGAAGAGTGTGTGTGTGTGTGTGTGCATGTGTGTTAAAAAGGCACAGCAGGCAGCAGGCAGAGCCAGAGAGGATGGCAGAACATTTCAAAGAGCCTTAGAACCCAGGCAGAGGAGTTTAGACCAACATAGCAGGTATGAGGAAGTCACAGGAGGACCTTGGGCATCCAAGGAGAATGATCTAACTCAAGTTGTAGAAGGATTAACCTGACAGCGTACAAGTGGATAGAGCGGAAGGGGACAAGGGGACTGTGGGCACTGTGAGCATCTGGGAGCCCTGCCTCACAGCTTGTCATATTTTCTCCTACAGCATACCACCATATTGCCCTTATTACTGGTTGAAACCATTCTCAGACCACACCACTACCCGTCGAAGAAGCTAGGACTTTCCTTGCTGTCTGCTTGTAATTTTGCCTACATTATCAGGTAAGAGCTGACAATGACCCAAATGAACAGTTCCTGCAAGTATACCATTGAATCAATCCTTTTGTTGGTTTAACTGGTGATCTAACCCATCTTTAGAGTTCCAGGGGAAAGGGGTTCTTATCGTTTTATTTTTAACCGTCATGATTTATGAGAGGCTCACATTCGGAAGACACATGAGCATGCCTGAATATACACACACACATACACGCAGCAAGCCACGACTTCCTTGCTACCCCTTTATGAAAAGCAGTTATTGCTAAGTAGCACTCAAGTATGTGTTCCCAAGAATATGTTGATTTCAGTGTCATTTGCAATTATATTTGAATGAATGAATGAATGAATGAATGAGTGGCTGAATGAATGATCTGAGGCATCCATCTGTACTCCATCTAAAAAGGCAGTTGGCAGGTGGAGCCAGATACTACTGTCCTGTATCAGCTTAGGCCTCAGGGGAGTTGCCAGAGACCTGCAGAACATGGGAAATGAATCAAGTAAATGGCCTTGATTTTGTCATTTAGTCATCTGATGACACTCACTCTTGGTAATGCTGCCCAGTGGTCTGCAATCAAGCACATGACCTTCTGCCTGGTGCTAATGATGACTGGTTCCCTTCTTTTCTTCTTTTCTTTCCTGGCTTGTTTGTTTTTTTCTGAGACAACATCTTATGTAGTTCATGATGGCCTAAACCTCTCTTGTGGCTGAGAATAACCCAACCATCTTCAGTTTTGATCCTCCTGTCTCCACTTCCCAAGTGATAGAATTACAGAGGCATGTTACTGTCTTAGGCTCTCTATTACTGTAAAGAGACACTATGACCACGGCAACTCTTGTAAAGAGAACATTTAATTGGGGCTGGCTTAGTCCATTATCATCATGGTGAAAAGCATGGTGGCACACGGGCAGAGATGGGGCTGGAGAAGGAACCTAGAGTTGTACCCTTCCTATTGTCAGGCAGCAAGAAGAGAGTGCCGTTGGGCCTGGCTCAAGCATCTGAAATCTCAAAGTCCACCCCCAGTGACACACTTACTCCAACAAGGCCACACCTCTCAATAGCACCACTCCCTAGGAGCCTGTGGTGGCCAATTTCATTCAAACCATCACAGTCACTTTGTTCAGTTTCATGGTGCTGGGATTGAAAGGAGGGCCTCATACACGGTAGGCAAGCGCTCTACCAAAGAGCTATATCCCCAGCCCTACCTTCCACAGCCTCTCCTATGACACCATTTCATGCCTTAAAGGGCCAATCCATCCAGCACAGGAATTGAACACTGAACACAGATGGCAACAATCACCCCAGTGTCTGTGTGGGAAGCCATTTGGTACTCAGTTAATGATAAGAAGTCATTTCAAAGGATGTGGGGAGGGAACACCCTAGGCTCTTGGCAACACATTTTTCACCAGCTTGGTACCCAGAACCCCATGAGACCTTTCTTTCCTTCCCATAATCTTCCTCTTCTCCCTAATCTTCCTCACTTCCCCCTAAGTGCTAAATAAGGTCTTTCTTGCTTTTTTTTCTTGAAGAATGCCCTTGTATAATATAATTTCCATGAGAATAAAGTGTTCTGCACTGCCCTCCACCCCTCGGGATCTTTGACTTTTAACAAAGGGACACTTTAAGACAACAAAGCTCTAGTGGGGACAACTTGTAGGATGATTGTTTTAAGAACCATCCTGAAGCCATCTTGTACGATTTAGACACTGAGGACCCAGGGTGGTACAGGAAGCCTGTGGCACTTACGGACTTCCTGAGAATGAGAAGGGACACAGGACAAGGAAGACACAGTAATGAAAACTGGTGATTTGGAGAGCAGGGTGCTGTGGGGTGATAGTCAGGGCTAGCTTTCTAAGGGGAGGAATCACGTTAAGTTGTGATCCAGAGAAAAAGCAGGATGAACTCAGAAGAAATAAGAGGCAAGAAAGATACCTCAGGCAGAAGGAACAAGAGCACTAAAGAACTAATAGAAGCAGAAGCTCAGAAGAACTGGAGGACAGGGAAAAGTTGGACCATGAATACATCTCAGCAAACTTGCACTTTCAGACTGAGTGCTTTTCTGCCTTAAAAAAGTTTCAGAGCCAAAGAGTCAGTAAGTTCTGTGAGTTAACCACAAAGGAAAGTATGGCGACCATGGCTGAAGTATGGACATTTGGATTGAGGAAGCAGAGAAGTGGAGACTCAGGGGAGTTGATGTCAGACAAATTCTCAAAAACTACAATTAATCTCAGAGCACGAATGGAGGACGGTGACTTAAATTTAAGCTGGCCTCTAAACACCGGGGTCATGAGGTCATCAGGCAGAGCGACCCAGTAGGAGAAGGAACAAAGTATAAGTACCGAGTTAGAAACAAAACCTAAAGAAAGATTTTAAGTGATGAGCAAGCTTTATTTATGCCCGCCTGCTCACTCACCCAGCCTCCAGCATGGTGGTTTTGTACACACTGGGAACTGAGCAGACTCTTGGCCATGTGTGCACAGTGGAGGAAGAACTAGGTTCGGAAACAGGAGACCCCCATCTACGGTGGCTTTAGACCTGGCTTTGTACTGGAATAAAGGGAATGTAAGTATACCTGAGGGCATTTTGTTACTGTCCCGGGGTGGACACTTCCATAGTTCAGTCCAGTCCAGATTAAGAGGGCATGCTAGCCCTCTTGGCTGCCTGCTAGCCCTGCCCAGTTAACCAAAGCACACCTCCAGACTCTCATGAGCACACAGGGCTAGAAGTTCCGCAGTGGCCGACACCCACGAAGAAGTGCGATAGGTCAGTTCTTGGGGTGTGCCAATTGAGATGGTCGAATGGGGAGGTAGCATAGCAAGAATGAGGTTCTGAACATGGGCTGGGCCATGGCAGGCATGAGAAACAGACTCGAGTCTGTGAGTTGCTGCTAGCTCAGCACCAGAGAGACATCATTCTAATAAAACCATACTACAGTGGTCTAAAAATACCCACACGGACCCCTGGGTGCTGTCTCCCCCGTGCTGTTCGCTTTCTGACACTTTTCAGATTGCAAAATTGGAGGTCTGTCTCTGCAGAGGAATGATGACTAAAAATCTTTCTTTTCTTTTTTTTTCTTTTTCTTTCTCTCTCTCTCTCTCTTTCTTTCTTTTTTTTTTTTTTTTTTGGAAAGCTTTAGTCACCTATAAACCTGGAGGCTTGCTCATTCCTTCCTGCTCTCTCACTGCCGAAACACCTTACCTTACTCTGTCTAAAGCGATGGTGAGGGGCAGGGGAAGGCATGTTCCTCATGCTAGTCTTATCAAGAGGGATTCAAACACACAGTTGTCCTGATAGAGAGCTGGTCCTGCTAGGAAAAACAAAGTCATATAAGGCCAGGCTCCAGCCGACAGGGGATTGATTCTAAGTGAAAATGAGCCACGTGAACAAACTACAGGAGTCTGGGCTGGAAAGTGATAAAATGTAAAAGAAAAAAAAAAGCGCAACAAGCTCCAAGAACACAGAGAAGGAAGGAGTGCTGTGGGAAGGCATCATGGAGCAAAGACAAAGCAGGTTTGGAATGCAGAGGGCATGCGCAGCCAGCAAGGGGAGGAACAATAAATGCTTCTGAGTCAGCCAACCGTCTCCTCTCTGTACAGTCTAGCATCCCAGACTAGTGAATGGTACTACTCACTGTTAGGGTAGGCTTTCCCACCTCAGTTAACCTAATCAAGAGAATCCCTCACAGGATGTGCTAACTGTGGTGATGTGACAGAAAATGGCCCCTAGGCTCACAGGGAGTGGCACTGTTAGGAGGTGTGGCCCACCCTGTTGGAGGAAATGTGTCACTGGAGGCAGGCTTTGAGGTCTCAGGTACTCAAGCCAGGCCCAGTGGCACTCTCCTCTCCTGCTGCCCGTGGATCTGGATGTAGAACCCTCAGCTACCTCTCCAGTACTATGTCTGCCTACATGCTGCCATGCTTCCGCCATGATGACAATGGGCTAAGCCTCTGAACTGTAAGCCAGCCTCAATTAAATGTTTTCCTTTACAAGAGGTTCTGTAGTCATGGCTTCTGTTCACAGCAATAAAATCTCAACTAAGGCACTAACCAAGTCAGAATAACCCACCACAGGTGTGTTCAAAGATTCCAGATCCTATAAGTTAATAGTCAACATTAACCATCACACCCCTCAAGAATAACAGTATTCCAACCATTCCTCACACAGGCACGCAACTATAAATCATACCCCAAGAATATATTACATGTTGCTAAGGGCTGAACTAAGCTGAGTTTAGACCAGTCGGCCATTCCTGCATTTACAGTCCTCTCCTTCTCCCATGTAAGATGTAACCTTCATCTAGAACCATCATGATCAAGAATGGTTTTTACACTTAAATCTTAGCAAGGATTAGAATCCCTGACCCACTTCCCATAGCCACACTCACCAGCCTTCATGCTGATGTGTGAAAATAGCTACCAAGATGCCACACAATGCACTAATATCAGCATTTAGGGGTGGGCCTCTGTGGGGGGCAAATTGAAAAGCAATTTCAATGCTTATAATAGAAACTGGAAAGAATCTACCAGAAATATATTGCTGAAAGAATCAGATATGTTTGTGACTTGATTGGCATGTAATGGGTAAATGTAACAGACACACGAAGGATACTTTTAAGAATTGCCACATAGGGGCTGGAGAGATGGCTCAGTGGTAAAGAGCACTGTCTGCCCTTTCAAAGGACCCGGGTTCAATTCCCAGCACCCACATGGCGGCTCACAACTGTCTGTAAGGCCAATTCCAAGGGATCTGACACCTTCGCACTAATGCACATAAAAGTTAAATAAATTATTTAAAATAGAAATATCATTAAAAAAAAAAAAAGAACTGTCACATAGTGGCCAGAAAAGACAGTGGTTTTAATAGCCAGTTTAAAAGCCCTTATTTAGGTTCTATTAGAATCTACTGCTGGCTCAGTTTCTTTGGGATCCATCCGGGCCTTAGGAAAGTAAAGCCCATCCCGCCCCAACACCCTACACACCGCACACAGCAGTTGCTCTCTACACCCAAAGGGACACCAACCCCCAAAGAAGAATCTCACTGGATACATGCTGAACGGACAGGCGCAGGTGGTTGGTCTTTCAGGATGAGATCTCTGGAGTCAGGGGGGAAGATAAGGAAAAGAACTGAGAAACAAATGCCGGGAAAATTCTCTTGTTTTAGTGATCAGATGAGGCAGGAGAGCAGCTGAGGGAGCAGACAGCTGAGGTCAGGCAGATGAGATTCCCCATGGTCTTTAAACAAGGACAATACGCCCAAAGAAGGTGTATCGGGACGACATGAGATGAGTACATTTCAAAATTCAGTCCACGCAGGAGACAGAGGTGAGGTGCAAGCAAAGTGTGCAATCACCCCCCCCCCCCACACACACACACACTTTCCATCTCTGTCTTTGTCTCTGTCTCTGACTCCTCTTCCCTATTTCCTTCCATTTCTCACTATATTTAAGCAAGCCACGGGAAAACGATTCCAGCTGCCACAGCGCCCCCACCCCCCACTCCCTGTTGAATGCCCTTTACCCGTCTACCTCAAGCTTGCCTTTGACTCCCCTTGGCTAACAGCTAACAGCTATCACTTCTTTGGCAACCTTCTCTGTGAAAACGCACAGTGGATTTACTAACCCTGGGATCAGTCCTTCATAAGCCTTATGCTGGAAAGAAACAAAAGCGAAACAAAGGAAACAAAACCTTTTCAGGTCCCTAGGGGAACATCCTTGTTAGTGGACCACCTTAGATGGGACATGGGAGTTAGGAAGCCCTAATTTCATGTATTTAAAGTAAACACTGTGAACAAATTAATACGAGTGTGATCATAGATCCATTTCTGCTTTGGGCTTATTTGATTTCTGCTCTCTGTTCCTACTCTGGTCTGTACTCAAGAAACAGCCACGCAGGCAAGAAGCACTTTACCAAAGCCTTCTGCATCTCTGCCACGTACAGTTCACTCTAGTATTTATTATAATGATGGTATTATTTTGTTACAGTCCATCACATTGTCCATGAGGCAGTGGGAGCAGCTGGACGGTGTAACAGAGTAATGATTCTAGCAGGGCAGAAGTAGGAACCCAGCATCCAAGCGATACTTGCATGACCCTAAGACTGATGCTGTCTATCTCAACTCTGACGTCACAATCTCACCGAGGAAAGTCAGGACAGGAAGTCAAACAGGGCAGGAACTTGATGGTAGGAAGTGAAGCAGAAGCTACTGGGGAATGCTGCTCACCAACTTGCTGGCCCGTGGTTTTCTCAGGCTGCTCCTTGTAGAATCAGGACCACCTGTGTAGGAGTAGCCCCGCCCACGATGGGCTGGGCTTGACCACATCAATCATCAATTAAGAAAACACACCACAGGCTTAACCATAGACTGTTTCAGTGAGGGCATTTTCTCTACTGAGGTTTCCTCTTCAAAAATGACTCTAGCTTGTGTCAAGCTGACATAAAACTATCACAGTGCCCTAACTTGATTTTAATTGTGAAAAAATAAACATAGCAGGAAATGGACCACTTTATTCGATTGAAGTGTGTATTTCAGCGGCATTAAGTATATTCACAGCCATCGGCAGTGTCTGCTCCCCCACCCCCAGAACTCTGAACCCAGTAGACTCCATCTCCCCATCCCTTCTCTACCAGCCCTCATACTTATCATCGACCTTTTCTCTTATGAATCTGACACCACGGCCTCATCCTACAAATGGGATTATATGTGTCTTTCTCTTACCGTAGCACCTTCAAAGTTCACACCTATGTAGTAGCCTACATTCAAATGCTCTTCTTAAAGTCATGTTTTGCTCCTCCATTCAGCCATCAAATGGACTCTTGGGCTCTTTCCACCTTTGGGCTATAACTCCTAATGGACAGAGATCTTTGGGTCCCTGATTTCAAGTCTGTGAGTGTATTACCAAGCGGTAGAGTTTGGGGGGTAGGTGGTAACCTGCCTTAACTCTCTGAAGAACTTCATAACAGTTTTCCTCTGCAGCGGTACAGAAGAGATTCAATTTCTCCATCTCCTCACAAACATGTGTGTTGTGTGGTTTGATTTGTTTGGGGTTTTGTTTTAATAGTAGCCATTCTGTGTAATGATGTGATAGCTCATGATTTTGATCTGCGTTCTCCAGATATTAGTGACACCTGACATCTCTTGATATGATCCTGTTACTTTTTTGTGTTTCTTTTTTTTTTTTTTCTGTGTGTGTGGGGGGGGGGGGGGGGGGGGAAGGATGTCTACCTGAGTCATTTGTCTGTTTCAAATTAGGTTGTTTGGGAGTATTTTTGATTTTGGCAAATTATGTATTCTAAATGTTAGCCTGTTAATATACATATGATTTGCACATATTTCCCGGCATAATGTAGACAGCGCCTCTGCACCGCTGACAGTATCCTTTGATGCATAGAGGAGAGCCTGTGAACTCCATACTCCAGAGCCCCCTTTGCCTCATCCTAGTCCTGGCCCCAAATATCAGCCGTTGTCCACAAAACACCAAACCAAATGTTTTTGAAACACAGGTTTCTGAAAGTTTAAATAAGCACAAAGCCTCATTTTTTCTGTCTGAATTCCTTCGACAGACAGCCACACTGGAATTCCATTTCTCAGGCCTGGCCTATCTTCCCTCCTACAAGAGAGCTCTGCTGTGCTGTCCCTCTGTGAACATGGCCACTTAGGAACTCCTGCCAAAGCCCCCCATGCCAGGCACTGTCTTATATATCTTCCACATGACGTTCGCGAGTAACGAACACACGTTTCACTCCAGTAGCTCTTACAGTACCCAGATGAGGTGGATGTGTTTGGATCCCCCCCTCTACACAGAGTTAATAAACAGCTGGACATAACGCAGCTTATAGGTGGCAGACTGAGCCTTTCGGTCCCAGAATCTTCTTCCAGATTCTACACATTTAACAATTGTAAGCTGCAGCTGAGGCAACATCATCCCTTCACACATATTCTGTGTCTCAAGTTATTCCAGACTTTGGCATCTTCGGCACAGTTGGCTCCCAGCAAACTGCATTTTTAAGGCTTCACTTAGACATCATGGCTTCTCTCCCAGCATTTCCTGTCTTTCCTTTGGCTCACAGAGACAACTTACATTCTATCCTCGTGTGAGTAAGTTCTGAGCCTCCCTACTAACTCTTCCTACCTAGTGCTCGGTCCCTAAGCATTCCTGTGAGCTGAAGTCCAGGGACAATACAGGCATCCTGGCTTCCACTGATGGTGTGCCCCCTCCCCCCTCCTGTGTCAACACGACTTGGAGAGCTGAGAAAAGCTGCACTGTCTGCTTAGGTACCAAAACCAACATCAACACACATTACTCCTTCCACTGCAGGCAGCAAGGTGGATCTCATCTTCCCAGGTCCAGTGTCTCAGCCAGCTGTTAATCTCAAAGAAAGCAGTAATTCGGTCATGTACTCATATGACGATGTGTTGTTGGTCTCTCCTATCCTTTCACCAAGATGGATCAGAAATAGGGAGAAGGCCCACTCAGTCCACGCAAACAAGATGTCTTATTACAAACAAGCAACAATGCCAAGAGATGACTGACTCTCTTATGTGAATCCTTGGGAACAGTTCAGGTGTTGACAAACGTTCTTCGCGGCTGCTTTTCACCTGCTGTCTTCCAGTGTCCCGCTGAGCCTGAGGTGAAAATAGCTTGCTGGCCTCTGTGATTTTAATCTTCTTGGCTTCTTATCCATGCAGGATCCTGTGGCGCTACGCTCAAACTGGAAACTGGGTGTACCCAGTGTTTGCTTTCCTCAGTCCACTGGGTATCATCATCTTCTTCTCTGCCAGTGCCATCCTGAGCGTCAGCATCTACCTGCTTGGAGAAAAGATCAACCAGTGGACATGGGGTCAGTGATTCCCTCTCATTCATAGTACATGGGGACACTTTTTCCTTACCTGTCCTCCACTCTTCCTCAAAAACAAAGGAAAACTTAGTCTGAACCAGAAGACCACACTGCTGGATGCTTTTATTCATAGGGCTCAAGTGGCTCCTAAAAAGCTGGCAGGACAAATGCAAGCTGGCATCCTCTCAGAGAACCCCAAATAACATCTCATTTAACCCAAAGAACAATGTGCTAGGCCCCCTCCCTCCAGCATGAGAAAGAAAATCCTATAAGGGTCTTCTCTCACCTCAGTGAGGCCTTGAGGGACATGAACTGTTAAAATGTGGTTCTCATCCTCAAGTATAAGACAGACTTTATTCTGTGTCAAATATAAATGAACCTGATCTCAGAAACATGGATTCAGGTTGCCCCGAATGAAAAAGTTACATGAAGCCTGGCATGGTGGTGCACACCTGTAATCTCAGCACTCTGGGAGGCAGAGGCAGGTGGTTCTCTGTGAATTCAAGGCCAGCCTGGTTTACAAAGTGAGTCCAGGACAGCCAAGGTTACACTCTGTGTCAAAAAACCAAACCAAACCAACCAAACAACCAACCAACCAACCAACCAAACAAACAAACAAAAATTACATGAGCTTACATAGTCACAGAACAAAGGACAGTCACACATCAATGCATTTAACCAAATACTGATGGACTGACTGATGGGGACAGCAGGTAGGGGAGTCCATGTAGGGGTGCTACAGCAGAATGGGGAAACTCTGCTATAGGTTTCAGATATTATCTGATGACACTTAGCTTTGGGGACAGTGAAAATCAATTGTCTGCCAAGTTAATCCATTTCAAAGGACAGTCAAAAGAGACAGTGATAGGCCAGATACAGAGGTAGGCAACAAACAGCTATCAAAGGGAGTGAAGATGTCCAGAATCATTTTGGTGCAACATTTCTGAAATTTGCGGGTGATGTTTTATGTTTTAATTCTGCAAGGAGACACAGAGAAACTCCGCCCTGGTTGGTTTACAAACACCTCCTTCCCATTCAGCCACTTTTCCATTAAACAAAAATAGCATTTCCTGGCCATTCTCTGAGTTCTTAAGAAGTATAAATTTGTGGGTACAAAGAGCAGGCAGTCCCCATGGGCCCGGAGTGAGTTACTTCTGAGGAGAGGCTGAGACCTCAGAGAAAGATGTTCAACTTGGATTTGTCACACTTAGTTCTCTTGGAAGATTTAGTTCATGAAAATCTTATGGGAGTGTTTCTGGGAAATTAAACGTTTAAATGAGATGCTATGCAAAGTAACTCAAATGCAAAACCAAAAAAATGAAAAACCAACCTCTTAAAACCAATATTTCAATCCAGGATTCCAATCCACAGGGAATTATGGGGGAGGGAGGGATTGGGATTTCAAATGTATAGCATCTAATTCTAATAAATTGGGGGCACTTGAATTTCTGAGTAAGGATTTTCTTTCTTTTTTTCTTTCTTTCTATCTATCTATGGTCTATCTATTTATTGGTTTTTCAAGACAGGGTTTCTTTGTGTAGCCCTGGTTATCCTGAAACTCTCTCTGTAGACCAGGCTGGCCTCAAATTTTCAGAGATCCACCTGCCTCTGCCTCCCCAGTACTGGGATTAAAGGCATGCTCTACCACACTAGATTAAGATTTCTGACTTTCAAAAAAATCTGTATTTTAAAAAAGAAAACAGGAGGGAGAAAGGGAAGGAAAGAGGGGCACTAATCTATTTGAAACAGGATGGGTAGAAGTGCAGATAAAGAAAACTAAATTACTAGGAGGTTATCAAGAACAGTGGATTTTTTAAATCTGTTGTATTGAGTTTGACAATGATTGATGTTTTAAATTGTTTCTTTACAAGACTGAATGTTAAAGATCTTGAATTAAAACATAAAGCATTACTCCCAAATTCTAGGGAATCCAACACCCTCTTGCCTCTGAGATCATCCACACACATGGTACGCATGGAGTCACAGGGATACACTGCGCATAAATACAAATAACAAATATATACAACAAATAAACTAAAATCTTGCTGTACTCATTATCTTCAAATCCCCACAGCAGCAAGCTCCCAGTATGCCCCACTGCTGCCCATTGTGTCCAGTTGTGTTCAAGTTGGGTCTCCGTGAGTAGGCAAGCTAACAAAGATACATGCTCTTGTTTGCCAAGAGTGTACACAGGATGAGCAGGATGGAGATTGGTACAGACATTGATGTGTCTCTCCTCCAGCTCTGCATCCGTAAGGAAAAAACCCAGATGAAAAGTCTCCCATACATCAGACTAGAAAAAGAGTTACATCCTGAACAAATTACCATTTGTTGCAAAGAACCAAATGATTAAGGGAGAAAATGCAGTGAGGACTGGCTGCAGTTGAAGCTCCTTCCTGCTTGAAAGGCTGAGGCAGGAAAATGAATCACAGGTTCAAGGGCCAACCCAGGCTACTTTCTCAAAGGAGGTGGAAAGTATTAGAAGAGAAACTAGATCCCTCAGAATTTCATTGGCACCTAATGCTTTTAAAAGACTAAAGCACAACAGAATCATCCGTGTGAACTCAGACCCTTCCTCTCCACTTATACTTTAAGGCCTCCCTAAGCTTACAGAAGATAGCCCCACCCATCAAAACACACAGAACCTTTCTGACTCAGTTCCTACCTTGGTGTTTTTTTTTTTGTTTTTTTGTTTTTTTGTTTTTTCATCTTCTTCTAAGCTTCCTTTTCCTCCCTCTGCATTAACATGGCTCCTAGCCTCCATGGCTTTATGCCCTCACCCTACTCCCAGCCTTTGTCTACCTCACATTTACTCATTTATTTCAACTTATCTCATCCAAGATGGCTGCCTTGAGCTGCCCACAGTGGGCTCAATGGGCTTTCCAAATGTTCCATGGCCTTCCTCTATCTTTTAACCACCAGACCTATCATTTTAGCATTACTGCTTTTGCTATAGTTTTAGGGAGTTGTCCTTGCAGCAGGCTTTGAGCTTCTTAAGGGTTAGGATGCCTACGCCATCTTTGCATTCTCATTCTGCTAGCTCTCCCAGTGACTATCAGAGAAGATGGTTTATTAAAAGGAGTAGGGTGGGGAGAGTTCTCTCTCTAGGTAGGAAGGGAGAGTTCTTACGAAGTGTTCTGAAAATAGCAATCAAGAAAGTAGCTCTCACGGTTGTAGATTATGACGCTGAACCAGGGACCAGAAGTTTGGTGTATAGGCAGGGTGGGGATATGGCATACCTGCTGAAGAACTGTGGAAGAAAGGGGTGCATGTTGGGACAAGCAACACATAAGGCAGTGAAGAACACTGAAATAGCCATCTGCCTTGTGCTTTTCCAAGGTGATCCATTGAAACTCAGGAAATATTCTTCACATTCCCAATTGAACATCTCAGATGAATGTAGTTGTAGATACACAACTGTCAGTATTTGGGAACACATTTTTAGTACTTTGTCTCCCGTTCTGACTCTGGGAGTCATAAAGATATGCATAGTATCTGCAGTCATACAGGTTAAAGCACTTTCCTCGCCACACCAGCCGATGAGCCGCATGTTGGTCTTAAACTCTCTCTAGCCTTTTACAGATATGAAAGAGGATGAAGAAGAGCCTAGAGTAAACCAGTGGTGGATCTATCCCTCTGGCTGCCAACCAGCCGACTTTCCACATTCCCTCCAACCAGAAAGTAGACATTGTTTCCCAGTTAGAGTTCGAAGCGACGTCATCTACATAAGATAGATGACCTATTAATAAATTGGCAGTTTCCATGAAGTAGAGCAACATGGTCAGAGAGAAATATTGAATACACAAGGGAGCCTGAAAATTGCTCAGCTCTGTAAGAATGCAATACTAAAGAGCTATCCCATGCCTCCATGTGCTAGAAGCAAAAAGAAAAACGCTATTTCTGAGCTATTCACAGCATCTAATTTTCTACAGAATAAAATCACTCTTGAATCTCCACACACAGAATTGTGTGGGAAGGTGCCTTCCCCATGTTGCTGAGGATTTTAGGTAGCTCTTCATTGCTGTCAGGAAACACCTAAGACAGTAAATGTTAAGAAGCAGAAAATTTTATATGTACCTCACAGATTTTGGAGGGGGGACTCTATTGATTTGGCTTCAGGTGAAGGTAGCATACAGTTACAGAGCCACAGACGGTGCTTTTTAAAGATCAAACAAATTAATACATCTCACACCATAGAGTAATTTATGGGAACAAAAGCCAAGGCAGCTACCAGCCGTACAAGAATTTCTCCATAACAACAATAATCTAAAAATCTCCCATGATGCTCCACCTCCCAAAAGTTTCTTAGCCTCCCAACATCATCACCTTGAGGCCAAGACTTTAATCATAGTGGATGACTGGAACTAACTCTGTAACAGTAGTGGTTGTTTAGCAGAGTTCTCTCCTTGAGAAACAGTGTTTTTTACTTCCCATTGCTCCAACAATCTCTACTCGCTAAAGAAAAACCTGTCTGAGGCATCTCTGTGTCTGTTTGTACAGGTGCCACAGTGAAGCCAGGGATGAAGAAGGAGTGATTACACACCATTTTCCAAGAGCCATGGAAGAAGGAGCATAGACCTGGTTATCTTTCTATTATTCTCATTATTATTTCTTTGTTTCAGTGGTGGGATAGCATGGGGGGACAGAAAGGGCAGAGATGATGCATAATTTTAATAAAGGAAACAAAGGGAGATTTGCTTGGGATCTCTTGGTTTTCTGAAAGGCTGACATATAATTCCTGGTATCTCAGAATCTGTTGCTTTTGTCTGACTCCGTGGAGGACTTTGTTTCTGACCAAAAGGGCTAAAGAAGCTTGTGTAAACCTGCTGCTGGACCATTTAGAGAATGGGTGTGGGGTCAGGAACTTAGAAACATGCAATCACTTAACCTTCAGGTGGCATGTTGCATACATCACAATAATTGTCGAGCTGGAGTAGCAGAGCAAGTGGGCATCCCAGCATGCTGGAGGCTAAATCAGGAAGGTCATGAATTCAAGGCCAGCCTGGGCTGCAGACAAAGAACCTGTCTTTAAATAAAGACAAAACATGGAAAAAAAAAGTTGCTGTCAAATGAAGACTACTCCCATATTCCCAATATCCAGGAACTGGGCCTTTTTTTTTTTTTTTTTTTTTAATAAATTCGACTTCTCTAAAAACTATTTTTAATAATCTAGTTGTTTTTAGTGATTTCTGACCTAGTCTCCCTTGATTTAGAAGCGTAAGGAAATAAAAGATACTGACATCTGTCTGCCTGTCTCATATAACAGCAAACTCACTGGGGCAATGAGAGTAACATACAACAAATGGTGAGAAGCCCGCCCCTTGTCAGAGCAAACATTTGGGGCAGCAGTTAACAGCTAACCCAGAACATAAGGAGCTGTGAAATGGCTCTTCCATTTGAATACAGATTTGAATGGAAGCACGGATAAGTTCTTGGGAAATCAAAGAAGTATCTAGCTGGAAAGAAGGGTAAATGTGAAGGGGCTGACTCACAAGAACTCATGGACCCTTTGACTTTCCGGGTCAATTTTAGGTCCATTTCATTGCTGTATACTCCTTTACATAGAACTGGGTTTTGTAAGAACAATTCATTTTAACTATATTTACTTCCCAAGAACCTTCCCTTTCCCCCCTTTGTGCAACTCCTGCTCCTTCCCCCCAGCTTACCTTCTGATTTCATCTTCCCCCTGTCTCTCATCTCTCATACACACACACACACACACACACACACACACACACAATTCCATGTATCTATACATAACCTAGGATCCACATATGAGGAGGAAAACACAGTTGTCTTTCTGAGTTTGGCTTATTTCCCTTAATTTGATGATCTCCAGGCACATCCATTTTCCGGAGAAGGAAATGAGGATAAAATTGTATTCTTTTTGAGTGAAGAAAGCTGCATTTATATAAAGATTTTTCATGTTTCCTGCATTTCTGTGTTAGGGCTTGCAGATCTGGGATTACGGCCCTTGGCTGGATTTGGTTTTAATCACCCATATTCTTTAAGGGGAAATGTTGATCATGCTCAAGTGGGTTCTATTTGAATCTCAGGGCTGTTTTTCTCACTAATGGTAGTAGTTAAGCCATCATTCCTGATTCCATCCTCAGCTGTGCTGGTTGTTTTTTGTCACCTTTCCCCCCCCCTTTTGACACAAACCTATATTATCTGCCAAGAGGGAATCTTAACTGAGAAAACACTTCCATGAGATTGGCCTGTAGGCCAGTCTATAGGGCATTTTCTTAATTAGAGAGGACACAATCCATTTTGGGTGGTGCCACCCCTGAATAGGTTATACTGGGCTGTATAAAAAAGTAGGTTGCCAGGCATGGTGGCCCACCTCCGTAATCCCAGCACTCAGGGAGGCAGAGGCAAGCAGATCTCTGTGAGTTCGAGACCAGCCTGGAGTCGACAAAGCGACTCCAAGACAGCCCAGGCTACACAGAGAAACCCTGTCTCAAAAACACAAAAACCAACCAACCAACCAAAAAAAAAAAAAAAAAGTAGGCTGAGCAAGCCAGTAAACAGCATTCCTCCATGGCCTTTGCTTGGCTTCCTACCTCCAGCTTCTTGTCCTTCCTTGAGTTCTACCCTGACCCTCTCAGTAATGGACTGTTGCCTGGAAGTGTAAGCAAAATAAACCCTTTCCTCCCCAAGTTGCTCTCGGTCATGGTGTTTTATCACAGCAATAGAAGCCCTAAGACACGGATAGAAGGGTATCAGATTCAGAAGCCGTAACTGATGGACAGACAAATTCATATAAAAATACAGCCATATCCAATCAAAAATGTGCCAAGCCCGTCTCTGTGCAACCCCTCAGCAGGCCAGGCAGTGAGTACTAAGCCTGCCTCCATGTTGTCTCTCATGGGTATGTGGGCGCAGGGCCCTTATGTAACTGGACTGAGGCTTGTTGCAATGAGACCACTCCAGTCTATGGCTAAGACAAGTCTTAGGCCTCATACTTCCTCAAGGCAGGTCGCAGTAGATCTGTGACACTTCCCATGTGAGTTGTGTAGTAGGTGGGGGACTGTCACCTCCAAGGCTGCCTAGGAACTCTTTCAAATGGCATTTTGCCTCAGCTCCTGTCTGGTGCCGAGGGCGCGCATGTACACGTTCGCTTGGGGCCTGGTCTCGAGTGCTCGAAAGTCAAGTCCCAGCAGACTGAGGCCTGAAGAGGACTTGGGCGCCTCTGGGTTACAGGTGGCTCTGAGCCACCTGACTTGAGGGCTGCAAACTGAACTTAAGTTCTCTGAAGGGCAAGCATATACTCTTAATCAACCACCATGCCATGTTCCCGGTCTCTTTGTTTAAGCCATGGCTACGACCCTGTGTGTTGCCCTCACACCGTGAGGAGAATCCTTTTGAACAGATGCTGGATTCTTTCCTTCCGTTCTGTTCCCTAAAGGTTTTTTTTTGTTTGTTTGTTTGTTTGTTTGTTTGTTTTTTCATTACTGAAATTTGGGGGAACCGATTCAGGCCAGTCAAAGGTATGGAGACAGGTTTGTTGAGAGGCAGCTCCCAGGCAAGTTCCCCTATCTCACAGGTGGAAGTCAGTGAAAACATGTGCCCAGCTAAAGCAAGGGTGTGGTTTTATGAGTTTGGGGCACAGAAGCTGGGATTATGTCCATTTAAGGCTAAAAAGCTGAGCCCCTGGGCAGGCCCTCACGGGTAGGTAGCCAGAAAGCAGGGGCAGGGAGAAATGACATGTTAGTCCCGAGATTTCTCCTTGTAGGTGGGGTTGGGGGGGGGGGGGGAAAGAGCAAATGGGAGTTTACTAGCTTGTGCAAGGCATGAGCAGGGGTTCCAACCAAACAGCTCTCACCGTTATGTCCAGATTAACTGCTGGAGTTTCTAGCCATGAACATTATCTGCCCTCATCCTCTGAGGGTCACCTTCTGAGAACAGAATGATCAGTGTCTGGTGGTGGGGAAAAGGCTCATGTGAGTTGGGATGTGGGCACCATGGTGGTCCCTTGGGGCCACACAGTAGAGGCTGGATAAAAGTGGACACCAAAAAGATCCGTAAGGGGTTATGGAAGTATAGAAGAGTGTGAAATAGTGTGATATTTTTAGCCCACATTGCAAGGAAAGACTACCAGAATAGGGCAGGTGCCAAATACCCTGTTTTGGTTTTGCTTTCTTACTGAGGTGGGAATATGAGCCTCCAGCATTTCTTTTTCCTCCTCCTCCTCCTCCTCCTTGAAATGGGAGCTCCAGCTCCTGCTCACACCTGCTGCTGTTCTTAAGTGCCTGGGGCACCTGGTCTCAGCAGAGGCCCAGGAGCAGTTGTCAGGGTGGAAACTCCCTCAATGTGAAGCTCACAGGGAGGAATCGCCCAAATTTTCCACACCCTGAAGATGACCTGTGCTGCATTCTTCTCACAGGCATCATACACTCCTGTCCCAGTTGAGTCCATTTCTATTTGTGGCTTTACTGTCCTGGCACCAAATTAAACCTTGATGGCAGCATGGCTGGCCACTGTGCAGTTCTGTTCTGACACCAGAAATACCTCAGCCGGGCGTCCCACTGGGCACATGCATAATAAGCAGACAGGTGCTTCTTGGAGCTGGTGTAGTTAAATTACAAGCAACAAGACACTTCTAATGAATGCTGATTAAACATTCATGAAAAGACATATAGCATTTGCTGCCTGCAATGCTATGTTGGAGCCTTAGTGGTTAGAATATGATAATAACAGAAGCCAAATGATGCCAGCAGTCATATTTGAATAGTGAAATTCCTAATCACTCCCATTTTAGCCTTTCACAATACTATGTATGTGTAAAATGTACTGGGTCCCATTTTACAATGAGTTAAACTGACCTGATAGTGGTGAGCTGGTAAATGTTTAATGACCAACAACAAATTAAGCTCCTGATTCATGATATTGGCCCCTTTCCATGGTGTAAACACTCCCTTCAGTGATCTTTTTGAAGCTACCAAGATGTTACCAGTGTTGGCAAGAGGTGTGCTCCACCCGTTGGTCCCAGAGAGACTGCTTCCAGAGGACTTCTGGATCCAGAGGAGGTTGGATGGGACAGAAGTAGCTTGTAGGTCCAAGTTCACATGGATAGCTGACTTCCCAGTCCACTTCCTTCCCTTCTTATTGCTGAGCAAAATGGCAATGCTATTAAAAAGAAAACGGATCCCACCTTGCAGTGCTAGACAGGAGGTATGTGTATGGGAGGGGGACACCCTCTCAGTCCCAACCCCACACCTGATTCTGATTGGCCCATACCCAAGCCATGTCTCCAGGTCACTCTCACAAGGGAAACCAGTTCTGAGTTTGAGTAAATACTTCCTGGCTGTCTAAAAGCAACACGCTCACCTCTTCCTTCCAAAGGGTCATACGTTCCACGAGCTATTTTAAGCAACTCTGCACCTACTCGCCTGAACTATTTGTCATAACAGGAAGCCAGTTTCATATGCAACCATCCTCAAACACATTGAGGGGCATGTGGGGAGAATGAGTGGGCTGAAGGAAAAGCTAGGATGCCAGGTCACCTCTGAATCCCTGAGACTTGAGCCTTGGTCCCATCCCAGCATACATCAGCTCTCTTCCCAGGCCAAGACTCAGAATCCCAATTTATTCCATGGCCAGGCAGCCTTGTTTTCCTCCCTCGTGTAGTTGGTGGTGCTTTCTTTTTCTTTTTTTTTTAATAAAGGATTTTGAGTAGGCAGCTAAGCCAGTCAGCTGTTTATTTATAGCTGCAGATTTTCAATGCTGTATAAATTAGAAATCATTGCTGAATGAGGCCCGCGCCCACTCACACACGCAGGGCCCCTATCTGTGAGTCCTTTTACAAGGTTTGGCTGTACACAGTCTAAAATGGGAGAAAATGACATGCTCCGAGTCAAATGACGGAGTCACAGCTAAACGGCAAAGCAGAAAACCAGCAATTATTTTTCCTCGGCACAATATGGGAGGTACGACAGGTGCAATTATCCAATATTATTTAACAGCACCGGTTTGTGGTGTACGGAGAAAATAAAGGTTTCCGTGTCTTGGAGGGAAAAGAGAGAAAGAGAGAGAGAGAGAGAGAAAGAACCTGCCTTGCGGCTCCTGTTTCTGTGGATTAAGCTGTGTTATATAAAATTGAA